TAAATTTTCTACTATCCTCACTACTAGTAATAAACCTGATTCTTCACCTAAAGCTGTTTCAAGTATTCACCTTATTCCTAGTTTGATGATATTTCACCTTAACTTCTATTTATTTTCTTTTCTACTTACTGAAGAGATTTTTTTTAATCAACTTTTGTTTTCTCTGTAGGTAGCTGTAGACTGTAATCAAGTTGTTTAATCATGTCTTTGGTAAACCAAGCAAACAAAATGCTTTGAATGTGTCACTACCCAGTATGTTCTACAGTATGTTTCTGTGGTGTATTGTCTGGAGAGGTGCTTGAGCTTCCACCTCCCCCAAAAACTTTCTAGCAGTGTCAGTGTGTCACCAAGCCTTGAAATGATAAATCATCCCAAAATGGAACCGTACTAGCTTGGATATGGTGCTGCCCTGATATGATCACATACTATTTGGTCAGCTTATAAATCAGAAGCAATCCAGAAAATGTAGCATAAATATGGTCCTAGTAATTTTTTAGCTTTACAGGAACACTACCAATTTTTTAAAAAGCTCTTTCAGTTATAGATAATAGAAGAGGACAAAGTATTCAAGGAATGCTTGTCCCAGCACCAAATACATACACAGTTTCTGTATCCTCCCTCACTATTCTATCAACACAAGATCTTTTGGCTGCACAGTTAACATTCATGTTTATCTAACAACCTGCTATGAATCCCAAGCTCTTTTAGAATTACAGCTTTTCAATAGAGATCCCCCTTGCCCTATGCCCATTTTCTGTGCCATTGGCTCAGACATCTGAATTTATATTTGGACACGTCCAAAAAGGCCAGAGTCCAGAAGGAAAGACCTTCCTTCTATTGATATTGGATCTATCCCACAGGAGGTCAAGAACATACTCTGTGAAATGAATAGATTGTGGTGTGAGTGTATGAAATGAATGCAAATCAACTGAATTCTTTTCAGGATTACAATTTCATAACTTCTGCAACATAACTAAAAAATAGAGTGATCTTGTATTGGAAACTTACCTGCATGATGATGATGCTTAAGGAGGGATCACTACACAGAATGCAGAAAGATCCATGACTTTACTTCAAGCTCTACTTGAGTCTAGTTCCCAGCAAGGATGGTGAGTACCACTGAATAGAGACCATGCTAAATTCCTGGAGTGTAAAGACAGTGCACATCAGGTCATCCTGTGCAGTATTGTAATACTCATTACCAACACTGCCTGCACTGTGGATGCAGAATTATTCTCCTACTCGGAGTCCATCTAATTTTCCTTTGCAAGAAAACCTGGTGTAGGGGAAAAGCAGACATGCACATCTGTTCAGCAGTTTTAGATTCAGCAAATATTTGTCAGTAGGAAGAAGAAAAGGGAATGGGTCCACAAGCATGCAGAGTGGTAAAGGGTAGGTTGGGTTAATAGCAGACAAACTGCATTAGTGGAATGGCTGTTGCACAGCAGGTACCAATTAAGCTTCTCTTCCCTTGCAGTCTAATCTGTGCAGTTCTGCAGAGCTTGTACATCTCTAAAGCTAACCTCAATATCTCACCTTGGTTGCTACACAGAGCTGATTTGATATCCCACCTAAACCACTTGCTTCATGCTTCAACACTCCTTGTTGAATGTGATCTGCAAAGAAATGAGCTCACCATCAAGTCATTTATCTTGTCCTTGGCACGCTGAGTAACTTTGGAGGTTTGGACCAGCCAGTAACACGTTGTTTTGAATGACATGTCTGATCTCTCGGCATACATAGAAACTACATAGGGAGATACATCTGGCCCTCTGGTGACAGCTATTCTCAACTAAACACCTGAAAACTTTGCAGCTGTTGTCCAGCCACCCACGGGCTAAAGAAAAAAGGCACAGAACCACTTCTTGAGTCTCTGCTTTAAGGCAAATACTCAAAACCACAGCCAAGACAGAGAAAACAGATATAAGAGAAACATGCAGCAGCTTGTAGTCTTTCTACTGATGTTCCACTCTGGTTGGCTGTGGATGCTTTTGAATGGGATCTAGTAAACTAATACAGTGGTAAACTATGTTCTCCTCCAATGACCAGAATTTCTATGGTTATACTCAGAAAAGACAACTAGTTACGGCTCAAGGAGGAATTAAAATAAGTAAAAATATAAAATCAAGTCTTAATCCTAAAATTTCTGTTCCTTAGGAAAGACTGCTAAGTCTAATCTGCATTTACAAACACTGAACAAAAATGAAAAACAGTGCAAAGAACATTGCAGTAACCTCACAGGAAGGGAAAAAAATGGAAGTGGGTTTTTTTCCTAGACAAACTAGGAAAAGAATTGTTCAAAACTGTACAGAGACTGAGAGCAGCAGAAAGCAAGCTGAATATGCTTTTTTAGCTATTTAGAGCAAAAAGCCCTTCACTGCCTCTAGGAATGGCAGTGGAGTTACAGAGAAGGTACATGAGTGTTTTCCTGTGTTTCTGATACGTCTGTGCATGGAAACAGTGCTTCCAGTTCTAAACGCATCATGAATTCAAAGAGCTAACACTGCAGAACAAAAAAATGGGAAGACTATAAATACTACAGAACTAGAAAATAGTGAAACCAAGAGTGCAATAAACGACAGTAATATACAGAAACAGAGAAGTTACAACTTACATTTCAAGAAATCTTTCCATCCGTATCTGAGCACATTGTTTTAATTTAAAACATTAGGACATTTAAAGTCAGATTGAGGAAAACTTCTGCAAGTGGGAACAATCTGCCTTGACACATTACTTTGTGTTGGGTTTTTTCATCCTTAAATTCTACAGCCAGAAAAAAAATATTCTGGTTAATATATCAACCTTTAATCTCAAAACAATGTTAAATAGCAGACAGCTATGTTAGATATTTCAGCTGTAGAAAACTCTCCCCAGGAAATATTTAACATCTGGCTGGCTCCTGATACTCATTACTAATCAATCCTGGTACAATGGATAAATTCTAGAGGGCTGGAAAAAAACCTATTACAATGTGAGGATTTCAAATTATTAAATTGGATCATTAAGATAATTCCAAGTCAGAGGGAAAATAATTAAAAACCTAATACAAAATTAAACATGTAAATATATCTAATGCTGATATAGATTTATAGAAAAGATAGTTTGTCAAATGTATTTGATTGCTTAAATGAGACCATAAATTGGCAGATAATGTAAAAGTTTGGGTTGATATTCTGAGGCTTTTATAAGGCGTTTTGATTTAGAAACCAGACTGACATATAATCAATATGGTTCTCATTAAGTGGATTAAAGACTAGCCAGGAGTTAGATCTCAAAATACCTCAGCAAAAGGGAATTATCACTGGCCAGCTGCCTTTTGAGCACAAACCCTGCAAGAACTGGTTCTTGATTTTTTTAACTCCCTCAGTTTTGACTCCCAAGCCCCACTCTTTGCCAGTATCATAGGAGTGATTTATTCACAGCTTTCATGGTGTGCCCTATGCACAGCAATCAGGCTTACCTCCTTCATCTCCTTTTTGAATCTCAAATCTTCTCTACAGAAAGACAGTTATAAAGCAAGAGGAGTAGCCTGCCCTCCCTCTTCAGAGAACCAGGAGCACGTGTTGAAGATGCTCTCTGTGGGACATGAGGTCTGACTACCTTCAGACAGAGTAAGTAATTTAATCTGGACCTGCTGCATCAATAGATCAGTAGACTATTGTACAAGTGGACAGATATTAACTCTGCTTGATCCTTCTCTTTTTTATTTTCAAAGAAAGTAAGGATTTCTGCTCAGTGTAAGCTGTAAACCTCAGGCCAGCAGAAAACCACCAATTCCTGCCTTTGAACTTTCCTGCAGCTCCAAGTGGAAGCATAAGCTGTATAAACAGCAAGGTCTGATATTCAGCTGTCCTTAAACAGCTGCTTGCTCAGTGTGTGTTTTGTTCTAAACCCTACTCTGAGGCACCACTTGTCCCCCCATGGTGGGGACTGAAGATACTATATTGAGAGTGTTAAATTCTCCTGTAGGCGCCTGCATGCATAAATCTTTATCTACCAATAACCATAAAGCAATAGCTGTCAAGAATAAAAAATAAAGCTGGCAGAAGTCAAGAGTAGCTCTTTTGCCTAAAACTTGTGCTTAAAATCCATTTAAAATCTGTTTCTTCCCACCCTATTCTACTCCCCCAGGTCTCTTCTCTGGTCACTCATGAACAGCTTATTTTCTTGACTTGTGGTATAGTTGCATGTGACCCTGGTGACACAAACACTTTTTCTCCAGACTACTTAGGCAGAGATTAATCATTACATTATGCTTTGTGTTGGGAGCCAGTGGAGGGCATGTGTCTGAAAATGCAATTAACTGGAAAAAAGATTGCTATAATTCTCAGGAATATGGCAATAAATGAACACTTTGTATATGTTACTAAATGAGAAGGAAGCCATAAAAGATCTTACAAGTAAATTCACATAGTTTCCTGATTCACTAGAAAATCATGACAAACTGGGAAGGTGGGGCAAGGAGAAGGAAGGATTAATTTTCTTTAACAGACAATTTGTTTGTAAAGCAAAAGATAGTTTATTCTGAGTTACAGGAATTTAAATAGATACTTTTAAAACCCTTTTAGCTATGTACATTTAATGGAGAATTATAAAGAACAGCATAGCTGGAATAATGTAAATGAGATTTCCAAGGATGATTCAGAGTATATTGACCATATTCTCCATGCTTGTAATAATACCATCTCAAAGTAAAATGGTTTGCTAAGTAATTAAATACTTAAAATCTGAATCAGAAGTTACATTCAAAACAGACCTGCAGCAAAAACATCAACTTTAACACACAGGATGTGTTTCACATTTTTGGTTCAGGGTTTTTTTGTGTGTGTGAAAACCAAGTAAAAAGAAACTACCAACTTTGTGAACAGTCAGAATTTATCTGCAAGTCCTTTAAATGTTTGTTCTTCTGACATGAACATATTTAGAAATAAGAAGGCAAAGTGGATCCTCAGCTGTGGCTTGGAGCATTGTGCTCCACCTGACAACACAGACCCTTCTCTTCACCTTCTTTCTGCACAGATGAGGTATGGCTGTGGCTGTAAGGTCATGCCCAGTCTTGGTTTGAGGTCTGGAATCACACCATGAGGAAAACTCAGGTGAAATCGTTGTAGCAATGAAGTGAAAAACAAAAACATTTCCATTCGAGCTAGTTGTTCTCCAAGACAATGTCTTCTTCCTGGATTGAAAAGAAATGTTTTGAAAGGACTTTAAAAGTGTTAAATTAAATTTTCACTCTTACTATGAGAAAAAATAGCTCATTTCTGTGTTCTAAGAGGAGCTGTATGAACTTGGTGATAGTATTTGGCAGGTAACAAATTTCAGCAAACTGTTCTTCTCACTACATAAATGCCATTGTAACTAATTCCATCAAATTTATTTAGATGAACTATTCGCTACTTTATCTTGTCCTGAAGTGCCAATCCAGACAGAAGATTGTTTTTTAAAAATGATACTGTGAATTTCAGCCTTTGTCTCCTACTATTTTCTCATTTACATCTACTGCCAGTTGTTATTACCTGGAAATTGTTATAACTGGCTAAGTAGAAAGATATTTCATGAAATAAGTCTAGATTATGCCTTTAAATGTTAGTTCCCATTCCTTGTATGAATGGTTACAGGGAGCAAATGTGATGGCTGTGGAAGACAGATGAATGGATAACAGTATCTGGAACTGGTAAAGGTCAAAAAGGCAAACAGAGACTTAACAGAATATACAATAAAGAACGTTGTCTTTATTGACTGTGTCTTTCAATGGACTGCAGAGGTAGCCCTGGCATTTAGCTTATACAGAGCACCTAATTTTTTAGGTTGCTAATAATATGTAAGGTAAGTTATCCACTCTTGTAGGCATCGAAAGAGAAATCCATAATGACTTGGGGCTGCCAGAATATTTCCTCAGGACACAACGCAGTGCTACATGCTGACCCCCAGGATAGTTCTGAACAAAATCTGCAATTTCTGGTGTGATCTAAGTGCTGAAAATTGAAAGCTGGTTGAGTAAATCACCTGTACATAATGACTTAACCAGCAAATTACTATTAATTGTGAAATGAATAGAACTTATGTGCTGCAATGATATAAAATGCATAGACTCCTTAGATAAAAAGATATGCTGTCTTTTTTGTTAATTTACACATAATAATCATCTATATAAAGGATATTATGCTAAAATACATTATGTTCAGAGTACATTATATTGAGTATCTTTAAAACAGCTGTTTCATCAGAACTGTGGATATATCATCCTGTCATTTTGTGATTTATTGCCATCACTTATATATTACACACCTCTAGATTTATGAAAATGAACAGCAGAAGGAATCACTCTTACCTAGTGAAAAAGGAATAAATGCATCTTTCTTGACAAACTGCCCACTGCTGTCCAAAAATCTCTCAGGGAAAAACACTTCTGGGTTGCTCCAGTATTTTTCATCAAAATGAACAGAGTAGAGGTTTGTGATGACTGTAGTGCCTTCAGGAATAGAGTAACCACGCACAACAGTATCTTTGGAAGTTGCATGGAAAATACCTAGGGGGACTATATTGCAGAATCTTAGAACTTCATGTAGAACAGCCTCAGTGTAGGGCATCTTGGACTTCTCTTCTAAGGCAGGCATTTTGTTTGGGCCGATGACTAAATCAATTTCTTTCTGAACTTGCCCTGTTAGGAACAGGAATAAAAGCTGATGATTAGTGTGTAATATCCTTTATTTTTTTAATTTAAGCTAAAACCTAGATACTTTTAAAAGGATACTGAAACATGAAATATATTAAATACAGTAGCTTGTAAGGTTTTTAATGTATAGTCTATATTTCTTATCTTGCAAGTAGGAATTCTTACAACCATATGTACCTCATTTCAAAACTAATTATTCTCAGTATAATTCTGTTTTGGCATACTTTGTGTATATTTTTATTTCTGGACCTCTTCAAAACCAAAGGGACAAGCAAAAGACTGCAAAGATATTGTACATTAAATACTTGAGTGAGCACACATAACATTGAAATTAGCCACTTGAACTTTCTCTGGTCTACTTCTGCTATGATTCTTTAGAATTGTCATAGTACAAAATAATTCACTCATCAACTGAATATATCTAATACATCACAGTGAGAGTTAAGAGGAATAGGAGTCCAAATTTAGCTGAAAATTGACAAATCCAACCATTGGGGTTTTTTTTAGCTATTTTAAGTCAACAGTTTATCTTGATAACCTCCAGGGCTTTCAAGCTGCCTCTTCTTTTTCCTGATACACTTTTCTTTGTTGAAACTGCCAAAGGTCACAGCATCACAGAATGTTTGGGGTTGGACAGGACCTCTGGAGATCATCAAGTCCAACCCCCCTGCCAGAGCAGCTGAACAGCTTCTAACTAAAACAAAGTTTGACTTGTACAATTCATGTGGAGCCAATAATGAAAATCTGGGCAATGGCAGAAAAATTGTACCAGAATCACCAGGCTTTTCAACCCGGAATGACAACATTTCACATAAAAATAAAGAGATGAAAAGCAGCTTAGTGAAAGTAACATTCTGTGCTGTAGTGTTGTATGGGTTTATACTGTGATATTTGGACAAAGAAAGTCTAAATAAATAAAAGGTAACAGCAATTTTTATTTTTATCAAGATGAAATCATTTTGAACCCAAATTCGGAAACTCATTATATCACAAGAGCTGAGATCAGAAAATTATATTAGGTGAGTGAATCTCAACAAAATTGGCCAATGCATAGGAGACAAAACTACAAAGTTGTTTTTTTAAAATCTCTATTGAAAAACAGTATGTTGGTAAGATCTGAACAGAGAAGTAGAATGTTCTTGTTTTAAGATATTAATATTGTTTGTGAGCCAGGACAGACTGATCAAAAACTTTTAATTTTTGGATCTTTTTACATTTGGGCTTTTTATAGCATGTAAAGCATAAATATATCCTATTGACTAATGATGGTACATAATTTCACTAAAATATGGACAATATATATATGGATCCTAAAACTTCAGTACCTATGAGATTCTATTTTTTTCTCATTTAATTTAATGTTTTTCTTTTTTGGTAGTTTTTCTTAGTATATTCTGTATAGCATACAGATGAATCAGTGGAACTTAGAAGCATAAAAGCAACACTTAATTTTTTAAAAATCCATTTAATTTTTAAATCATCTGAAATGTGCAGACTGGTTAAAAATAACAATTGCAGTTTTAAGCTTTCAAAAATTAGCTGTACTTAGTGACATATTTCTCTTTGGTATGTCCCTCAAAGTTTTTAAAATTAAGAACCCCAATCCTGTTAGATCATGATTTTAATTGTAAGCTAGGAAAAATTTTTCCTATTTTTAAATCCTTAAGCAGTTTCCTCATGTTCAATTAACTAACCAGCTAACTAAAATATCTGAGAAAATATGTAAGAGGTTATGGCTCTCAGGAGATGTTTGAGTGAACTTTGGTTCCGTTTGCTCAGCTAGATATTTTAACCAGCTCAGTGAATATGAGGCTTGATAACAGCAGCAACAAAAAAGTTTTTGCATCGACCTCTTTATTTAATCTGAATTATTTTCACTGTTTATAGTATGTCAGGCCTTGACATGCATTATCAGAACATCTTATTTATTTACTTATTTACAAGTAAAGCTGTATTGACCTTAAACATAAATACAAAATGTCATCATCCCTAGAAGTGTTCAAGGTCAGACTGGACAGGACTTTGAGCAACCTGGTCTAGTGGGAGGTGTCCCTGCCCATGCAGGGGTTGGAACTAGATGACCTTAAGATCCCTTCCAACCCAAACCACTACGATCTCTAATTTTAAAATAATAATTGCTTTTATTTCCACTCAATTTAAATTAAAAATTATTCTAGCTGAGAAAACCAGAAGTGATAGAGTCATGCACCTATTACCATATGAACAAAATAGAATTTTTCCTACATGAAGATACCTGGTTTCTATGCAGAACTGCAGATCTCAAAAGCCTTACAGCTACGGGTAATGTTTGTTATTCCTATTCTGCAATAATGATGATGATGATGAAATGGATGTTAGAGCAATATTCTTTGGTCCAAGTACAAATAGTAACTTTACAAATTATTTAGGCTGCTCTTTCTTCCAATACTTAGAAGTCCCCTGGTTGAACTAAGCACTGCTAAGGTTTTGACAGGAAAAGTGAAGGAAGTTAAACAAGAAATGTGCCTGTTCACTTCTAAAATCCTAATTTCTACCTAAAACATTCATGCTGACATTCAATCATCTGTTGCTGTCTTACTTCAGAATGACTGTAACAGATACTTTTATTTTTAAAGGCTGGTTTTGTTTCTCCACAAATATAAATATACATATGTAGAATACATAAACCTCTTGCAAATTGAGGCACTTAAGGATAAAAAGGAATTTTACCTAAACTGTTAAACAAACCTGATATACATTCTTGCTGATGTTTTTATATTTTATTTATTTCATATTTAACTGCATTTGTTTATTAACTACATCTGCCAACCAGTATTATGCGTCACCACACTAAATTTAACATATTGGAAATACATTCTTAAAAATATTAAAGGTTCATTAAAATGTATTCACAAAATAATATGCTAACATTTTATCATCAAACTTGACTTTTTATATATTCCTCATCTGCATATAAAATAAGCTTTCCGCATCTATGCACAGCATATTTGGTAAATAATATGATATAATAATATATACAAATCTTCCCTTTTGGTTATGGCTATGGATCACTGCACCACTTCAGAAAAGCATTTTAAATTTGCAATAGGAAAGTGTATCAGTTCCTCAAAACGTCCAGGTTCTTACCTTGAATGTTTGGGTAAAGAGCCATAAATAACACTGCCCATCTTAAAACGTTTGTTGTGGTTTCTGTCCCAGCTATGATGAGTTCTCCAACAGAGAAAATTAGGTTCTCTCTTGAATATGTAGATTGTGGATCATTTTCCTTGGAGTCCATCTCATCTAAATACGCATCTACAAAATGTCGAGGGGACTGAGGCTTCCTATTTTCAGAGACACGTTCAATAAGCTCATGAAGAAAGTCATAGACTTCTGCTGCATTTTTAAACAGCTGCTGGTGTTTCCCAAATGGCAAGATACCAAGCCAAGGAAAAGCATTATATAAAAATACAGAAGCACTAGCAGCTAATTCAATATTTTCACTAAAAATCTCAATCATGTGCTGAAATTCAGTATCTTCGTATGTGAAACGTTCTCCAAAAATAATCAAATTAGTAATGTTTGACACGGCATTTGTTATCAAGTGCTTAAGATCAAATGGTCTGCCTTTATAAGTATCAATGGCATCAAGAAAAAACATAGATTCTTCTGAAATTTTGTGTTCAAAGGACCTTTGTCCATATCCAAAAATTCGAAAGGTATTTACAGCTAATTTGCGATGTTCTGTCCATCCTCTGCCATATTTACTGTTCAGTAAGCCTGAAAAAATATTTTGACACAGTATTTTATGCAGCACTTTATTTTCCCCTGTAAGATAACAAAATTATTTAACAAGACAAAAACCGAGACAAAATTTTACACGCATCTTGCTATGGAACATAGTCCAAGAGTGACAATTCTTTTCAAATAGTATCTTTAAAGAAGCATCAAGTACTTTATGGAAGCAGATAAAGAAATAAATGGCTAAAGCAAACGTTTCACGAGATGACAAACCTATCTATTCCACAAAATTGACATTGTTATGTAAAAGACATGAGTGCTTACCTCCCATGTTTGTCAGCTTCTTAAACAAGGGAAGAGATGGTCTATCTGCAAAAATTTCACTTTGATGAACAAGGCATTCTTTTACTGCATCGTAGCCATTCAGCACAATAGCAGATATACCTCCAAGATCAAGACTGAAGATCTTTGGGGGGGGAAAAAACCCAAAATTGTAAAATGCAATCAAATCTTAAGAACAAATGTTGAAAACAAGTAAAAATAGGTAATTAATAAGTGAAAAAGCCACTAGGTATCAATGTAAATACAGGCTTGAATAAACTTCAGTAGGGCATACAGGCAACCAGAGGTAACACAACTGTAGCATTACATAGGAGAGCCTGTTGTGAGCTAACTTAGCCTGTCAAAAGAGAGAGTAAATTAGCCCACAATACATTCTGTACATTTGCTGTGCACCTAAAGTGACCAGCTCTCCAAAGGAAGGACTGGGGATGCTTTTATATAGTCATTTTTTAAATTTTAACTTGTATCAAAATGCGTATTTTTCAGAAAAGGTGTCCCTTAACATTAGTAGATGTAAGTGTATATTTCTAAGTATATAACTAAATATTATTAGAGATAAGGTATAGTTTTAATATAAGAACTAGAAATACAGTTTATATATTGCCTACTTTCCTAGTTTGCTGAGATTACTTCCACAGGAGGGAGGAAAGCTTTACTGCTGTATCTGCTCCTTCTCCCTGCCTTAGTCAAGGTAAATTCCAATAGTTTAATTTGGTTAAGGGCAATATGAATAAAGCTACAAGTTCATATCACAAAGACTTGCAACATGTCACTTAGTAATGGCAGACACAGAAATGGTGTCAGTTGTCAAAACCACCAAGCTGCACCCAGTCCTTTCTGTCTCTGAAACTGGACACCAGCTTACTTTTCACAGGCTCCCAAAGAACCATCAGATGGTAGAAGTGAGAGCCATGATAAGAGCAAACAAACGACAGCATAGCCCAGCTAGTCCCATCTCCTGTTCCAGAAGTGGCCAGCCCTAGGTGCTTTGAAGAAAGATGCATTACATCCTGCACAGTATGAAATAATACTGGCCTAATTATACATTCTGTGACAACAGGGTTGTCACCAAAACAGTTGTCAAGCTCTGGAATAGACCACCCAGGGAAGTGGTTGAGTCATCATCCCTAGAGGTACTTAAAAGACATGTAGAAGTGGTGCTTAGGGACACAGTTCAGTGGTGGACTTGGCAGGGTCAGGCTAATGGTTGGACACCATCTGAAGCGTCTTTTCCAACCTAAATGATTCTATGATTCTGACTATTTTGTTTTAGCAAACTCAATATTTTCACTGTTACAATGGCTTTTCTTTCTTATGTGACAAGAAAACACACCTGATGAATTTCTGCAAACCACTTGTGAGTTTTGTGTACTTTGATCATCGCTTATTTCTCTTGCTTCCTGTCATACATAATAAAAAAAACCCCAAACTCCTTTCATTGTATTTTTCAGAGCCCCCCCAAATCCTGATCTGCCCTCTTCAAGTTTCCTCAAATTCTGCAGGACTCCTTCTAACAGCAGGGGACCGACACCTCATGCAGCACTGCAGGCAAGCAGAAAGCTTCGTTTATTTGATGACACATTTTCATGCCTATTTCCATCCTATTTGTCCTAACATTTTGCCTCAAACACATTCACCTTTCTCTATTGCCAAAATAAGTGAAACAAAAGATAACCCTATCCCTTTGTTTCTTCCATTTATCATGTTCCTAATTTGTGCTCTTTGTTTTGCTTCCCACTAATGACAAGACTGTGTCTATTTCATAAACGATGTGGACAAAAGCTTTGGACAGACAAGGTCTGGCAGCAGTTTTATTTGCTTGACAGGGCTGTTACATTGAAACGCTTCTATCATTTGAAGGACACGATCTTCTAGACAATGTATCGGTTGTGGACACAAAGCTCAGTCCTTCACAGCACTCCAGGGATAATCCTGCTAAGCCAAACCCCCCAGGCTGTACCAACACTTTGGGAATGTACAGGCACACCGAACGGCTGTGCCTGCTGACTGAGCAGCTGCTCCCAAACCTGCCTGTGCTTCCGCACGGGTACACGTGCACACTTCCAAACACCTGCTGGATCTACTTCGGGCTTCGTTATTATGAACCTTGTAAAAACAGATCGGTTGCTTGAAACTAGTCAATGAAAAGAAGCACCTGATCTGTAGGAAAGTAGGCAAAAAAATAATCTGTTATTTCGTTTTAGAGCAAAAGGACGGTAAATACATAGTCCAAATAGCCACTGAAGGTATTTGGAAGCAACGTGTTTTCAGTTAACATGATGCGTTACCCAAGCAGGCTATTTGATGGTGTCATGTTGATGATTTTAAGCCCTCTTGGCATGTGCAAGACCTGGGGAGGAGGAGAAAAGCGAGTTCCCCCGCTGTGCAGCAGGACACCCGTTTGAACGCTGTGCCAAAGCCGAGCAGAGCGGCGGGCGGGCAGCTGCTCCCCGCTGCCCCGCCCCGGGGAGGGAGCTCCGCGATCGGGGCGGCGAGAATCTGCTCTGGCCCCGCTCCCACGGGAAGGGCTGGAACCGCAGCACCGGCTTTGCCCAAACCTCTTCAGCTCCAGAGCTTTGTGCTTCCGCTGCTGCCGAGGCCGGACC